CCTGCTCATGTGCTCTCTCTCAAATAAATAAATCTTTTTTATAAATCACACATATTCCTAACGGATTTTTTAATTTTTGTGGGCTTTAAAATTTCTGATTTAATAATGCAGGGAGGCTTAGGGTTATGGATTTTCCTGTTGATACAGTTTTGTCAAAACAGTTTTTTTTAAAATAGATTTTCGGGGCGCCTGGCCAGCTCAGTCGGTAGAGCATGTGACTCTTGATCTCCGGGTTGTGGGTTTGAGCCCCACGTGGGGTATAGAGATTACTTAAAAATAAAATCCTTTAAAAATTATTTAAAAAATAGATTTTTTTTAAGAGCAGTTTAGGCTCACAGCAAAACTGAGAAGGTACAGAGATTTCCCACACTCCCCCTGCCCCCTTACACACACAGCCCTGTGCAGACTGACATACCATTCTCTATTTCAGCTCAGGCTGCATAACAAGTACCACAGATTGAGTGGTCCAAACAACAGGAATTTATTGTCTCACATTCATCCTACAGATTCCAGAAGGCAGCCAGGACATAGAGCTCTTCCTTTTTTTTTCTATGATGCATATTACTTCGTTGTCTAGATATGTAATGGTTTATATAACGAATCCCCTGTGGTGGGTACCAGGCTGCTTACACTCCTTTGCTATTATAAACAGTGATGTGCTGCATAAACTTGCAGTGTGTCAGCTCATGCTTGCACAGGTGCACCTGAGGATCAGACTCCTAGAAGTGGGGGCGTCGGCTCAAAGGGCCAGCAGTGACACTCTCATAGAAATTCTGAAGAGTTGCTGGGTTGCTTATGTTCAGGGCCCCCTCCCCCTTTTTTTCCTCTCTTTTTCTATCCTGGTCATTTGTTTTCCCAAATACAGCATAAATGGAGTATCCTGCTTACCTGGGACCTGTCTGCCTGCTGTCCTCATGCCTGAGCTTGAGGTGGACGGTTTGTAGTCTGCCTGTTGTGCCTGTGGGAAGGGCCAGGGTGTCCACCCCTTCAGCCTGCTGGCCTCCTCCGCTCTGCAGAAGGTGTGGAGACTGCCCTCCAGTGACCGTCCTGTGCAGAAATCTGTCTCAGTGTGACGGTGAGGCATTACAATGCATTTCCCTGACAACCATTTAGGTCGAGCACTTTGTCATGTGTTATCAGCGATTTGGGAAACTGAGAGTCTCTTCCTATTTTTCTTTTGGGAAGTCTTTTTCTTAGTGACTTATAGATAGCTTTGCTCATTCTGGGTTGCATTTGCTCTCTTACTGGGCCTTTTGCGGAACAGATTTCCTTAATTTTGACCTAGTTCAGTTTACCCAAGTTTTCTTTATGTTTAGCGGTTTGGAGTCGTGTTTAAGAAATCTCTGCCTAGGGCGTCTAGGTGGCTCGGTCAGCTGGGCGTCTGCCTTTGACTCAGGTCATGATCCCGGAATCCCAGGATCGAGGCCGCATTGGGCTCCCTGCTCAATGGGGAGCCTGCTTCTCCCTCTCCCTCTGCCGCTTCCTCTGCTTGTGCTCTCTGCCTGTCAAATAAATAAATAAAATCTTAAAAAAAAAAAAGAAAGCTTTGCCTAGTTCAAGGTCACGGGTAAAGGAAATAGGAAAAACATGTTTTCCTATTTCCTTTACCCTTCACATTCAGATCAATCATCTGAAGTTGGAATTTTGTATGTGGTGGGAGGCAGGAATCAGGACACGTGGTCTCGCATAGTGACGGCCAGCTGGCCCCCGAGCCATCCACCCCTTGGGAAGACCCTGCTTCCCTGTCCTGCCTGTCGGCTTTGTTGTAAATCAGGTGATCGTGTACCTGTGGTCTCTTCCTGGACTTGTGTTTCATCGGTCAGTTTGGCCACCCTTAAGTGTAGTGCTTCTTTTTTTTTTTAAGATTTTATTTATTTATTTGACAGAGAGATAGAGAGCAAGGGTAGGCAGAGGGGCAGGTGGAGGGAGAGGGAGAAGCAGGTTCCCCGCCAAGCAGGGAGCCCAATGCAGGACTCGATTCCAGGACCCTGGGATCATGACCTGAGCTGAAGGCAGATGCTTAACTGACTGAGCCACCCAGGCACCCCTTTTTAAAGATTTTATTTATTTGAGAGAGAGAGAGAAAGCACAGAGGGAGAGTGTGAGGGAGAAGCAGGCTCCCCGCTGAGCAGAGAGCCCAATGTGGGACTTGATCCCAGGACCCTGGCATCATGACCTGAGCTGAAGGCAGCCGCTTAACCGACTGAGGCACCCAGCCTCCCCAAGTGTACTGCTGCTGATTCATGCTTTCTACCTGATACTATCCTGTTTTCTTCGTACGTCTTATTTCCCTTACTAGGCTTGTTTGAAGCCACTGAATTCCAAGAAGACAAGCTCTATGACTGACTGGTCTTTAAAAAAATTTTTTTTTATGAAGTAATCTCCATACCCAACATGGGGCTTGAACTCACGACCCCGAGACCAAGAGTTGCACGCTCCACCGATGAACCCAGCCAGGCGCCCCTATTACGGACGGATCTTTTGATGATGGCATTGTGGCTGGACACAGTGCCTTTTTTTTTTAAAGATTTTATTTATTTATTTGAGAGAGAGAATGAGATAGAGAGAGAGCATGAGAGGGGGGAGGGTCCGAGGGAGAAGCAGACTCCCTGCTGAGCAGGGAGTCCGATGCAGGACTCAATCCCGGGACTCCAGGATCATGACCCGAGCCGAAGGCAGTCGCTTAACCAACTGAGCCACTCAGGTGCCCTGGACACAGTGCCTTCAACACATAGTTGCTGGTTGTCGTACATCACAAACATTGAAATAAACTTTCTTTTAAGAGAAACAGCCTACCTGTGTTATCACAAATTCTAAAAGATGCTCAGTATGAAAACCTCCATCTCCTCTGTTTTCCTGTCCCATTCCAGTGAACCATAAGTGTGGTTGGAGAAAACCATTGTGTTCTCATGGTCTGGGCGCTTTTTCTTTTAATCTGTGGTGGGCCAGTAAGGAGCCAAAATACCTCCTCATCTGCATGGCGTGGGTTAAGGCTGGAAGATTCTAACACCGGCTTCTGAGGAACTCACTGTTGGGTGTTTTGGCACATGGGTATTGTTTCTCCCCCTGTATTAAATGTTATGCCCACACCCCTTGCCATGTGAGTCAGCAGTGCCCCCCATTAGAGCACGCAGAGTTTTCTTCCCTGTTGTATTCATATTGGAATGGTTAGCAAGCGTGTGTGGGAAGATGCTTGAAATGCGTTTGTGTGGTTTGGCTTGGCCACTTGCTGTGAGAACAGCATGTTCCTGCTGGGAGGAGACATGCAGAACAGGCCTGTATGCGTCCAAGCCAGCTGCGCTAACAAAATACCACGGACTGGGTGCCGGGAACAACAGAAATTTATTTCTGGAGGCTGGAAGTCCAAGATCCAGGTGCCGGCAAGGTTGGTTTTTCCTGCCATTTCAATCCTCCCCTGGGTTTGCAGGTGGCTGCCCCTGGCTCGTCCTCACCTGGTCTTTCCTCTGTGCCCGGCACCCCTGCTGCCTCTGGGCACCCACATCTCTAACAGTAAGGGCACAGTCAGGCCACCCTCACGGGCTCGTTTTGCCTTCACTGCCTCTGGAAAGGTCCTGCCTGTAAAAGCAGTCCCAGGCTGAGGTCCTGGGCATTAGGACTTCACCACAGCAGTTGGGGAGGAGGGGCACAATTCAGCCCATAACTAGACCTAAAGACCAGTCCAGCCAATCCCAGGAGGCAGCAGAGCTGTGAGCAGGAAATAAACGTCCGTGGTTGGGGTGGTTTGTCGGGTAAGGAGCCTACAGCAAAGGCTGACTAATATAAACGTGTCTTGTATTCACTCTTCTTTTTTTTATGGAGGTGAAATTCACATCACACAATGAGGCACTTTAAAGTGTACCTTCAGGGGCGCCTGGGTGGCTCCGTCCATCCGTTAAGATCCCACTCTTGGTTTTCGCTCAGGTCACGGGCCCAGAGGCTTTGGATCGAGCCCCGTGGGTAGTCGGCTTCTCCCTCCACCCCGCCCCCCCCCCCCGCTCTCTCCCGCTCTCTCTCAAAGTAATAAATCTTAAAAAAAATAATGACATGTACCTTCAGTGTGCTCACAACACTGTTCCTTTAGTTCCTAATGGGCAATGTCAGAGAGGCTTTCGCCAGAGGAAAATGCATCCATCCATTCTTTCACTGACGGGAAAACGTCTTTGTGGAAGTGCAAATCTTATGGTGGTGGGAGCTAAAAGCCGAAGCCTGTGATACCGGGAAGCGTGTCCTTCCTCACAGGCGCGACCCGACACTTGCTGCGGGCCCCGTAAATGCCTTGATTTATGGGGCCCACATTTACAGAGTGGTCAGCACCTGCTGGTCCTGCTCTTGAGTCCAGGGTCTTGGTGGTGAAACAAAAACAAAAAACAGGCAAAAAAAAAAAAAAACCTGCTTTCATGGGGCATGCATTCTAGAGGAAATCAGATTCAATGAGTAAGTAATCAATAGCATGTTCAGTGGTTTAAAAGGGCTAAGAAGGAAAATGAACAGGGAAGATTGCAAGAAAGGCCTCACTGCAACAGGTGTTTTCCGTGGGGATGATGCTCCAGGGAGGTGAGCACGGCTGTGAGCAGAAGCCAGTTCTGTCCCCTGCGGGTCACAACCAGGCCTGTCCCAGCAGAGGTGGGAGCCAGGAGGAGCCGGGGAGGGCTTCTTTGCACGTGCTCACCCTCCTGAGGCTGGGCCCCTGCTCCCAGCACCAGCCCTGCCGCCGCTGCAGACCCGGCAGGTGCACCAGGCAGTTGGAGGCTGTAGACAGAGATGCAGAAGTCATCCGCGTGTCCATGCATTTCAACCCAGCGAGGTCACCTGCAGGGGAGGGTCAGCGCTGCTGTGGCACAGGGGTGTGTAGAGGTGGGCAGGTGAGGCGGAGTCAGCCACAAGGAAGGAAGAGTGCTCTGAAAGCTCCCGGAGGGCCCAGGAGCAGTTTTGTGCGACACGTGACATTCGCCCCATTTGCTTCCCAGCCAGGGCTGGTAACGCCTTCCTCAGCGGGAAACATGACGATGGGTAGGAATCTGAAACTTCTTCTGTGGAAGAATTTCATCTTGAAGGTGGGTAGGGCGCGGGGGGGGGGGGGGGGCAGTGGCGTCTTGTGGGGAGGGACTGGATGTTGAAGTTAGGTTGGGTTCTAGTAACAGATTAAAGAAAAAATCAACTTTACTTGGAATGGGGCCCCTCTCTGCAAATACGGCCAGTTCCCATTGGAACTCTGCAGACTGTCATCACTGAAGCCCTCACCGTTGTTACTGGTTTCTCGCCGCTTATGCGTGGAAAAGTCGGACGGGGTGGCATCTAGCTCATTCTCTATTGTGCAGGGAGGCTGCGGGAGGGAGAGGGCTTTTCACAAGGAAGCCTTGCCACCTGGCGACTCAACACGTGTGATCTGCTTTGGATTACCACCCGCTTTCCTTTCCATTGCAGAAGCGGAAGACCCTGGTCACCGTGCTGGAGATCCTGGCGCCACTGCTGTTCTCCACGATCGTCATGTATCTTCGCCTGAACAGTCTGCCCCAAAAAAGGCCTCCTTTGAATTACCTTGTGATCAGCATCAGTTTGCTGCCAGACTTCTTCTATTTCCCCATGCAGACTAGATACCAGCTAGTGTACATCCCTTCCAAGAGCAGAACATTAAAGGCTATCATGGAAATGGTGGAGAAATCCTTTGACGTTGAGTTTGAAGGTGGGACACAGAGATGGGGTACGGGTATGGAGGGAGGGCATTTCTCCAAAGTTGGAGGCCTTTGCCAGAGGGTGCTTATGGTTGTGATTCCAAATGTGGGGTCTCCAAATCCTAAAAAGTCTGCAGAGGTGGTCGCTGGGGGAGAGCAGCCCATTCTGATCCTGCAGCCACACCCCCCGGAGACGAGAGATTCTGAATTAGCGCTCTGACTGGTCTCGCTTTTCTTCTTGACCCCTTCTAGTCCAGTCTCTGTGTGGATCCAGGAAGATCTCTCAAAGGTCAGTGGGGTCTGGCCAGCTAGTGCCTCAGCCCCTCCTGGGCTTCCACTGCATGGGGAGCCAGGCAGGCCCTTCTCTGGGCTCCCCTGCACCCCACGAGCCAGGCAGGCCCCTCTCTGGGCTCCCCTGCACCCCACACGCCTCCCGAGGGCTGTGCCTTCCTAGCCCTGCAATGGTGCTGAGCAGAGCAGGCAGCTTGGGTTTAGGTCTCTCACCTGTGCCTCTGTATCTCTTGGAGCCCTGCTGGCTCCGCTCACAGCATTTTGATTCACGTTTCATCACATGGCCACTAACGGCTCTCTGTGCCGCACCTGCTGGGCACAGAGGGCAGAGGCCCGTGTCTGTCTGTTCTGGGCCTACTCTGTGCCTGGCACACACTCGCTGTTCAATACGTATTTATTGGATGGAGTAATGCACTTAGGGAGATACAGCTTTTCAAGATATGGAGTCCACAAAATGTGGAGTGATTTTCCAAAGTTATACTATGTGTTTTTGTAAAAGTATTCCAGTAACACAGAAGGTACAAAGTGGAAAGAAAGGGCAGTCCTCTCCTAGCTCGGAGCGCTACTCAGTGCAGACAATTCTTTCAAAGGCCCTCTGTGGCCACGTGTGTGAGGACCGCTGTTTTGCGCTTCATGCTTGCCTAGCGCCCTGAAATACCATTCCAATTCAGTTGTATCTTTCACAAATGTGAGGTTATGAAACAAACAACGGAGAAATCTTCTCTGGGGAGGTGATATGGTAGTGAAGCCGTGAGGGTGAGGGACAAGCCATGCGGGGTGGGAGGGTGACCTCAGGACTCGAGGCGGCCAGCAGGGGGGTCGCCGAAGGGTCGGGGAGCTGGCAGCCGTGGGCGAGGAGGAAGGAAGTGGGGAGAGTGGTCCCAGTGAGGTCGGAGTGTCTGCGGGAGCCTCGAAGGCCTTGTCCAAGTCCTGGATTTCCTTCTCCTGCCCAAGCCCGCCCGCCGTGGGAGGGTTTTTAAGAAGAGAAGTTACATGATTTGTTTTAGAAGAGCCGTCTCTGGCTGTTCTCTGGAAGAGAGACTGGAGCCCCTGGTATTCGCAGACATTTAGGAGAAAGTGGATGGGCGGAGGGGAGACATGCAGGCAGACGGAGCTGCGTGGATGAATTCGAGATCAGTCTGCAGTGGGAGGAGCGCCTGGGTGGCTCAGTCGTTAAGCGTCTGCCTTCAGCTCAGGTCACGATCCCAGGATCCTGGGATCGAGCCCCGTGTCGGGCTCCCTGCTCGCTGGGGAGTCTGCTTTTCCCTCTGCTTGCTGCTCCCTCTGCTTGTGCTTTCTCTCTCTCTAAAATAAAATATATTTTTTTAAAAAGCTGCAGCAGGACATTGCGGGTCAGAAGCCCTCCTGCCTGCTTTGGGCCTTTCTTGGTAGGTGGCCCTCCTACTCCCAAAACATTTGCTTTGCATCTGGGCTGAGTTTCCACCCCATTTCCAGGGACCCCTCAGTGGCCTCCGCAGAGAAGAAAACATTTCTATTCTGTCTTCCCTTAAGATCCCACCTCAGGCAGTTTATCTTTTCTTGGGATCGAGGTCTTGAACGTTTATTTCTTTTTTTTTTAAAGATTTTATTTATTTATTTGACAGAAAGACACAGCGAGAGAGGGAACACAAGCGGGGGGAGAGGGAGAGGGAGAAGCAGACTCCCCGCTGAGAAGGGGCCTGATGCGGGGCTCGATCCCAGGACCCTGGGATCATGACGTGAGCCGAAGGCAGACGCTTAACGACCTAGCCACTCAAGCGCCCCTTGAACGTTTATTTCCGCCTTATTGCTTCCGACTCACGTCTTGTCTCGTCACAGTGTGTGTTCTGCCCTCGGTCCCATGATGACTCCTGCTAAGAGGAGTGTGGCGCTGACTGTGGGTTCCGGTGCTTTCCTTCCTCGCGTGGCTTGCGGCCACCCGCCATGTGCTCGCATGTTTGCAAAACAGCCGAGGGAGTGAGTGAGGCTTGTGGCCCCTCAGCCGAGAAGCGGGCGCCCCTGCACCTGCTCAGGGAGGACGGCCATGGGCGGGCAGCGGAGGCCTTCCCGCCAGCCCCTTGCCGACTGGATTTTCTCTCTGCAGTTCTAGGCTATTCTTCGGTGCTTGTCTTTGAAAGTTACATAATCCAGGACCCCAAAGCCTTCTACATGTGGGCCGGAATTGTCTTGGATCACTACTTCAATGACAGCAAGCAGCCCCTGCCGCTGGAGGTAAGGACGGCCCTTCTGGAACAGCCTGATGGCGCTGCCCAGCCCCAGGGGCGAGTCCGCGAGGGAGTCTTTTCACCTGAGCTGCCCCTCTGTTGTCCTGTGTTACTGCCCTGTCTTACTTCCGGAGGAGGTAAGCAAACGCTCCAGGCTTCACCTCTTACAACCTGGCCCCGGGGGCCCCTTCCTGTTCTCCAATTCCTTACAAGGGAAGCCTTGCGCAGGGGAGCCTCCTGCCGAGGGAGGAGGGCTACGCGAGCAAGCTGCTTGATTACGGACTGGGTGCCCGCTCCGCAGCCACTGGCTGTCTAGCCGTGGGAAGGGCGCTAGCCTTTCTGGGCCTCAGTTTCTTGACCAGTGTAATGGGACTAATAGTAGTTCCTAACTTGGAGCATTAAATGAGTCTGTGCCCAGGAGAGAGCCGGGAAGAGAGGCGTTTTCCAGAAGGACTGGTCCTAGTTGCCACCATGACTAGCATGGACTCAAACGTGGTAGGGCTTTCTGGCAGTGGTTCCTGTCTGGGGGTGGGAAAGCTTTGGTGTGGTGCTGTACCATCGCGTAAAGATTAATTGTCAGAACTTGCTTGGGGCGTTAGAAGCCGGAGGCAGACTTGTTTATAAACAACCAGCAACACTTGGCAAGCACGTAGGAATGCCAGGCACACCCAGGGGTCATCCGACTGGATCCTGCAGTATGTCTGGGATGGGCGCTGTTAACAGCCTCCCCACTTTACTGACGAGGAAACCAAGACAAGAAGGTCAAGTGACTTGCCCAAACGCTGCCTTCCTCGAGGGGGCTCTCCCAGGATGGTGGTGGCAGACCAGCGTGTGCTCCCCAGAGGGGACAGCCATCCCTGCCGTCCCAGCTGGCCTCGGGCGCGGGTCTGCTCTGTCCTGGGTCCTCTCTGAGCATTAGGATCTTATGACCGAGGTTGTCCTCCCTTTATCCTCCACAGATCAAATACCACCTGCGCTTGAGCTGCATTCAGAGGAACTCCTTAACCTTGAAGGTGACGACATACCGTGATAAGCTGGAAGACTGGGCACATCCTTCCTTTATCCTCCAAACCCGAGCCAAGTGCCCCTGGCCTTTGGACATTTCGACGGGGGACTCCCTGGTGAGGAAGCCCGTGTGCGTGGCCCTGTGTGCGCCCACCTGGTCCCGAACTTTTCAGAAGGGGTTGAGGGAGTTACATTTAGAAATGTGTCACTGGGTAAAATGCTTTCCTTCTAGAGGAAGTTAAAGCAGCAATTAAGCGTTTGATTTGTACTGATACTGAACTGCTTGAAGGAAGGATGGAAGTATTTTACAGGAACCAGGAGGGTATGTTCCTTTTCATGCGCCTGTGTGTACTAACGTTTGCTTTAGCTTCCCGCAGGCTGGGGGAGCAGCCGCGGGACAGCAGGGGCACCCGTTCTCCTCTCCTGAAGGACGCACGCTCCCTACATCCCTATAGAGTTTGGGGCTCCTTCTTTGTCGGGGGTTCAGGGAGGCCTCCCTGCAGGGAACGAGCTGCTCGTAGGAAACTGAGCTGCCAAGCTGCACCTCACTGTGGGATGAGTGCACAGCGGACGTGGAGCCTTGGGCCTGCAAGTCCAGCGAGGGGGAATGTAAACCGAGGGCTCATAGATTCGTGTGATTTTAGAAAGGGTACCAGCCGCTCTGCAGAGGAAACTCTCTTACCCGCAGTCAACACCACATGACAGTTCCCGGGATTTTAGTGTCAACGTGTTCCTCTCGTGTTCATCCTCACGGATCTGGGGGTCCGTGTAGGGGTGGGCCATTGGGAGACCTTGGTCACCTCCACTTCACTGCTGCGTGCCCCACCCTGGCTCTGCCCACAAGGAGGGCCAGGAACCCTCTGTTGCGCTTGAAGGTGGGGCCATTATCTCTCTCTCTCTTTTTAAGATTTTTAAAATTTATTTGTTTGACCGAGAGAGACACAGCGAGAGAGGGAACACCAGCAGGGGGAGCAGGAGAGGGAGAAGCAGGCTCCCTGCGGAGCAGGGAGACCGATGCGGGGGCTCCATCCCAGGACCCTGGGACCATGACCTGAGCCGAAGGCAGACGCTTAACGACTGAGCCACCCAGGTGCTCCTGGGGCCATTATCTCTTAAAAGATCCCGGGGCCTGGCGTCTTTGCCCTTCAACCTATTTTTCCCAAAAGCTGACCTCAGCCCACCGGCTACGCTGTATCAAAACAAGGGCTGCTTACGGTCAAGATGGTTTTTGAGGTTTGGCAGCAAAATCTGATGCCCATAACCCTTGGGTCACAGCGGTGACAGTTCAGAGACAGTCACAGTCAGGGAGGGGGGCTGTGGTCTCCCAAGTGCTTTGAATTTAACCATCTCATATGTCCTGGATAATTAGAAGTGCAGAGCGGGCACCCTTTTCCTGGAGCCTGAGTGCTTAGTGGAGGAGATGTGGCCCCACCACGCAAGAGTGTTGTATGGGACATCCCTTGTTTTGTGCGTTCAGGACACCTTTGCCCTGTTCTCTGATAAAAGACGCCATCACAGCCACGGGGGGCCCGTGGCGACTCTGCTCCTTATTCCACATGGCAACAGGTGGACTCGAGAGAGCCCGTCCTACTACTGTTGGTGTGTCTTCACGAATCGCGAGCAACAAGCATCTGATTCATCAGGTGTCCTGCTGTGTCAGTCTTTCTGGGTCTCTCACACCTGGTGTCCGCTGTGTTCTCATGCAGGATACAGCAAGGCAGGCTTCCTGACCTTACAGCATGCTCTGGACAAGGCCATCGTGCAGCACCGCGCCCACAATGTGATGACCCAACTGTTCGAGGACCTCGCTGTGCTCGTGAAGAGGTTCCCGCATGGAGCCCACATCCAGGACACGTTCTTGCTGATCCTTCAGAACGAGTTCCCTCTTCTGTTCATGCTCAGCTTCATCTGCATCCAGCTCATCATCATCAATTCTGTTGTCCTGGAGAAAGAGAAAAAGCTGAAGGTAGCCCCACTGGCATGGGATGCATGCCTCTCCCGGGACCCGGGATGTGCGGGAGCACTAATGAAAAATGACCAGAGTGGGAGTGAGGCTAAGGCAGGGGAGAGGTGTGTAGTTGTCAGAGGGACATCCAAGGTGAGTTGGAAGGTGGATGTTCTTCCATCATTTGACCTGCTTGCCACTCAGGCAACCCCATCTGTTGTGATGACATGAGTCCTTGCTTTGGGGCTTGCCCATGGTGGCTGTTCAGGAGATGCTTGTGGAATGACTCCCTGAGAAATGCACAAGGAGGGGAATGACCCCCAGGAGTAGCTCGCTGTCTTGCTGCTGCAGCCGGGAGCACTGTCCAGGGAGCCCCAGCAGAACATAAGGCTGATCCCACGAGTTTCTCTGCCTTCTGTGCTCCGGGGCCCTGCCCGCTCTCTCCCGTGACTTCTCTCTTCACCTTTTGCTAATTTCTTCCCCTTTGATTGATTCTTATGACTGTGTCTAGAAAATAGCCTGCCGGTGGCTCCCTCGACCTTGCTTGGCCTCACCCACCGTGTCCGGTTTGCTCCGTGGTCTCGCGCGCACAACGTGCTCTGCCGGAGGCAGTCTGCGAGGCTGCCATGGGCGTCTGCACCCAACGTGGTAAGACAGCCGGCTCTTCTGCTTTCCCTAGGAGTATATGTGCATGATGGGAGTGAACAACTGGCAACACTGGGCTGCCTGGTTCACCATGTTTTTCATCTCCACCCTCATGGTCGTCTCTTTCATGACTGTCCTCTTCACGCAGGTACGTGTCTCGGGCCCTCAGGATGTGCTTGGCTGTGCAGAGGGGTGGGTGGCGGTGCTGAGATTCGGCAGCTGGGGAGAGCACAGCTAGTGATGAGCACCTGGGAACCCTCAGGTGGATGCGGGGTGGTGCTTACTGAAACTCTGTGGGGATCCGGCGCGGAACGCGCACCATCCGGGAGATTGCCCTCCCGCCGTTCCCAGCTCTGCGAGGACTGGACGCAGGCGTAGTTAACTTCATTAGGGAAGTGGAATTCCAAGAGATGTATTTCATAAACTTTAAAACATTGCAAATTTTACACTCTACAGATAGTTGAAAACAGTTTTTGTAAGAGATGAGGACATTCTCTCAGGCCCGTGCTACCTTGTTAAATTTTCCTTCTACGCTGCTATTGAAATTCGGTGTTCCGATTTGCTAACTTTCATTTAATGACTAAATTATAATCCACCATGTGGATGTATGAAAATTTGCCTTCTAAATTACCAAAGTTGGGGCACTTTGGATAAGGGAAGGGAAGAAAACCCAGACCACACAGCAGAACACATAAAACAAAGAAAATGGCCAGAAAGCATTAAAAAGAGGAGATGTCAGCTTCCCAAAGGAATACCATAGTCTTCTGTAATAGTGACGATGACAAATGGGATAAACTCTCTCATTAAAGCCAAAAAGATTCACACTGGGTCAAAAACTGAATTCGGACTTACACTTTCTTTAAAAAAGGTACACAGACTGAGCATCATTTGTAAATGGTCGTGGACACTGGATCAACGTCTGCCTTAAAAAAAATCTGTCTCTGTTGTTTAATTAGGATCATCTTGTAAAGTTTTTTTTTTTTAATTTCTGCATTGTTAACGGGTAGAGAATGCCTTCTCTTCATTCTCTCCATGTAAAAACGACGTGTGTCTATGACTGCAACACAGGTGCACGGTGTGACGGTGTTCAGGAACAGCGACCCTAGCTTGATATTCATTTTTCTACTGTGTTTTGCCACTGCCACAATTTTCTTTGCATTCATGATCAGCACATTCTTCCAGAGAGGTGAGTCCTGATACAATTTTCGGTCAGGGAGGGCGTTATTGCTTCTGTTTCTGGTAGCACTGCTACTCAAGTTACCTACAGCATGAATTATTATTCCTCCAAAGCCAAATTTTCACCTCTATGGTTACTTTAGCAGTAGACTCATTCCATTCCCTGTCCAAGGCTTAGGGAACCATCTCATGTACGTCTTTTTCTGCTTTGTTTGGCTGCTAAATGTCACTTCAAACAGATGCAAATGGTTAAGTCCCAACTTGGAAGGAAATGAGGGATAAAGCATCAGTGCAGATAGTTTTCCAGGTCTTGATTGTGAACTTGGGCACAATGATAGGATGGCTTCTGAGACACCATAGTAAGACCGGAATTCCTGGGACTTTGGTCCTATCAGGAGGGGTGTTCCCTCTAAAATTATTGGTAGAATCAATGAACTACTAGGGACAAAAATAACAGGAAATGGGGTCAAAGTCAGAGCGTGGGAGAATGGACTGCTGATTCAAATAGAGAGGCAGAGGTAAAAACATTCATGGAGGGCGGGTCTAGTAGTTGGTGACAAACAGAGGGCTTACAAGAACTTGGGGAAAAATCAAAATGTGCTATAAATGAAGCCAGGCAGTTTACTCTATACATTTGTGAATATTTTACATTAAGTATCATGTTCTAATGTTCTAATATGTGGGCTTTGGCAAATACCGACTCTACCAGTGTGGGAGTGGGTTCTTTGGGAGGTTGACTGGGCCTGGACACCATCTCCTGATTTGAACTCTATACCGAGTTCTCCATTATCCTCAATACAAGCATGGCGGCGGGGGGGGGGGGCTGTCAAGTAAGAGAATTATGTGGGGACCTGGGAGCATGACTATCAGAGGATGCTTGAAAGCTAAGGCTAATGTAGTGCTAAAGGTTGAAGCCAAAAAAAATTGACTTTGCAGTCAAGCATAAGAAATAAGCAGAGGGCTGGAAAGAAAAAACAAAACCAACGAGGTCAGAAGCACAATAAAGCAAGACCAGAGTGGAAAGCAGATAGCAGGCAAGAGTCCCAAGTGAAAGCAAAAATATACCACATAACATCAGAGTTTATGATCACTTGATTTTTGATGAAGGGGCCAAGAGAATTCAACAGGTAAGGAATAATTTTTTCAACAAAGAATGCTGGAATAGCTGGATATCTATGTACACAAGAATGAAGTTGGACCTCTATATCACATCATACATAAAAATTAACTCAAAGTGGATTATAAACCCAAAGGTAAGCGCTAAAACTACAACACCTTTAAAAGAAAATCCAGGCATAAATCTTTGTGATCTTGGGTTAGATGGTGTTTTCTTAGACATGACACCAAAAGCATAAGTCATAAAAAAGAGGATTGATGAATTGGACTAAATCAATATTAAAAACTTATGTGCTTCAAATGATACCATCAAGAGAGTGAGAAGACAATCCACAGACTTGGAGAAAACATCTGCAAGTAATGTATATCATGAGAGACTTATAAATAAAAGAAAACTTACAACTAAAAAATAAAAACACAAATATTCCAAACTCATTCTATAGGCCAGCATTACCTTGATACCCAAATTGGAAAAGACATGAGACCAATAAAACTACAGATCAGTATTCCTTATGAATAGAGGTGTAAAAATCTTCAACAAAATACTAGCAAACTAAGTCCAACAGCATATTTAAAGGATTACACACCATGCCAAGTGGGATTTATACCAAGAATACAAGAATAATTCAGCATATGAAAAACAGTAAATATAATACACCACTTGAATTGAATGAAGGAAAAAATAAACACAATTTTATTCACTTTTATTTGTCTCAATTGATATTGAAAAAGCATGTGACAAAATCCAGTACTTTTCATGATAAAAACATTTAACAAACTAGAATATAAAGGAATTATCTTGACCAAGAGTGAGCATTTACAAAAACCCCACAGCTAACTTCATATTCAATGGTGAACAATTGAAAGTGTTCCCCCTAAGACCAGGAAAAAGATAAGGATGACCACTTTCCCCTCTGTTACTCAACATTGTACTGTAAGTTCTAGGCAGAGCAATTAAGAATGAAAAAGGACTAAAACGCATGCAACTGGACAGGAAGAAGCAAACTCTCTCTATTCAAACATGACATGATCTTATATAGAGAAAATCCTAAAGAATCCACAATGGGAACTTTTAGAGCAATTAAATGAATTCAGCAAGTTTTCAGGCTAGAGATCAACACCCAAAAATCAGTTGTGTTTCTATACACTAGCAGTGAACATTCCAAAAAAGAAATACAGAAAACAATTCCACTTAAAATACCCCCCAAAATAAAATACCCAAGAATAAATCCTCCCAGGGGTGCCTGGGTGGCTCAGTTGGTTAAGCGACAGCCTTCAGCTCAGGTCATGATCCCAGAATCCTGGGATCGAGCCCTGCATCGGGCTCCCTGCTCAGCAGGAAGCCTGCTTCTCCCTCTCCCTCTCCCCCTGCTTGTGTTCCCTCTCTCTCTGTCTCTCTCTCTCTCTGCCAATTAAATAAATAAATAAAATCTTTAAAAAAAAAAAAAGAATAAATCCTCCCAAAGAGATAAAAGACTTGTTGAAAGAAATCAAAGACAACTTAATGCAATGGAAAGACATCCCATGTTCATGGATTGGAAGACTTAATATTGTTAAGATGTTCATATTCCCCCAGATTGATCTAGAGATTCAATTGAAATTCTATTAAAATCCCAGATGCCTTTTTCTCAGAAATGGACACGCTAACCCTAAAATCCATATAGATTTGCAAGGGGCTGCAAAAAGCCAAAACAATTTTGAAAAAGAACAAAGTTGAAGCCTCACACTTCCTGGTTTCAAACTTACTACAAAGACAAAGCAACAGGGATCAAAATAGTGTGGTACTGGCATGAGGATGGATATACAGACTGATGGAATAGAATTGAGAGTCTAGAAATAAGTCCAAATAGCCAATTGATTTTTGACAAGGGTGCCAAGACCATTTAATGAGGAAAGAATAGTTTCTTTAAGGAATGGTGTTGGGACAGCTGGATAGCCACTTGGGACTCCTACTTCACTTCATTCCTTAGCTGAATAATATCCCATCATATGGATAGACCACATTTGGTTATCCATTCATCTGCTGATGGACACCAGGTTGTTTCCACCTTTTGGCTACTGTGAATCATGCATCTGTGACCATTCGTGTACAAGTGCCCGTCTGAGTCTGCTTTCAATTCCTTCGGGCATATACCTAGGAGTATAAATGTTGGGTCATATGGTGATTCTATTTAACTTTTTGAGGAACCAAAGAACTGTTTTCTACAAGAAGCTACAACATTTTTACATTTCCAGAGTGTAGTACATGAGGGTTCCAATTTTTTTTTTTGAGAAATGTCTGTTCAAGTCTTTTGCCCATTTTTCACTTGCATCGTTTGTTTTGTTGATGCTGAGTTGTAGGAGTTATTTATGTATTTTGGATATTAATCCCTCATCAGATAGGATTTGCAAACATTCTCGCCCCTTCTGTGGGTTGTCTTTTGATGCAAAGAATTTTTTTTTAAAGATTCCATTTATTTATTTATTTGACAGAGAGAGACACAGCGAGAGAGGGAACACAAGCAGGGGGAGTGGGAGAGGGAGAAGCAGGCCTCCTGATTAAATGGGGTATTACAAGTAAAGTGCTGAGAACAGTACTTGGTATATAGCAAGAACTTAGTAAACGTTAGCAGTTCTCAACGCCTGTTACAGGGGAAGAACCTGACACTCAGAGAAGTCATACCAGGTTCAAGCCAGGTTTGGGGCAGGGCCGCCGGACGCCTCAACGGGGCTCTTTCTATCATGGATGCAATCCTCACGGCCCCAGCCCTACTCTCTCGACTTCCTGGAAGTCGAACGTCAGCATTCCACCTGAGCTCATCTCCCAATCCGGAGCCACCAGGCTCACAGCCTGGAAAACCCGAGTCCCTGACCGTAATTTACTCTCTCCATGACGCGGGGCAAACGTCTTTACTGTGGCTGGGCCTCAGGTTCCTCTGGAAACAGGGAGGGCAGGAAGGCTCAGTAAGCAGCTGTGGGTGACGTGCTGGCTTCGGGGCTGCAGCACGTGCCACATCGGTGAAGGAGAGGGTTCGGACCGCAGGAGGCACTGTCTGTGCCCTTACAGATGCCCTCAGTCTTTCCATAGTCCAAGTGCAAAATTCTGAAAAAGGCTGCCTCCCTTCTGAGATGCTGACGCACCTGCAGACACCGCCAGCCCACTTCCGTGGCAGGAAGGGGCTTGTGTCACCTCGTGCGTGGCTGATGGCCCTGTCGTGTCTTCCCACAGTCCAGGTAGCACCTGCCGCCGGAGGCATCCTCTGCTCCTTCACCTACCTCCCATCCCTCTATCTCATGTTCAGCTACCCCCAGAGGACCCACTTCCAAAAGATGGCCTTCTGTCTGCTCTTGAACGTCGCCATGGCCTTGGGAGTCCGATTAATCTCTGCATTTGAGATAAAAGGTGAGCCATCCCTCTCCCCAGGGAAGCGGCCTTGAAGTTCGGCCACCGTGGCAGACGGGCCAGGCTGACCTGTGTTTCCGGGCGGCCCTCGCTGGTGGCTTCCTTCAGCCTTGGGAGCGTTTGCAATACCCTGGCAACTGCGGGGGGTCGTAGGTTGGGGTCCACACCACACAGCTCATGGTGTGGTTTGGGAGCAAAACTAAAGCATATTAGTGACTTAGGAAATTATACGCCGATGTAGTTGCTTAGATAGAAAAGACACGGATTCACAGTTGGATTCAGTGAACGCACTTAGAACTTACAGATAACAGAGAGCCATTCACATTCGCCGTGTGCCACGCGCACGGACTTGGGGTCGGCCTGAGGGCCTGCCCAGTGGTGCTGGTCTGCTTTCCTCACAAGTACTCCCCCACATGCTCATTTGTCTTACGTTCCTGAGGTGGAAGGATTGCTCCGAATGCCGACGGTCACCGCAGAAGATGGCGGCTAACACATCCAAACCGAGGGCCCGCTGGGCTCCGTAGGCTTCCTGGGGGAAACCATCCCCCATCTCAGCGGCACTAAGACTAAGATGGCCGCCTGTGGACACTGTAGCAAGCGTCTCTGCAGCATCCTTGCAGCTCTGGCACTAGATGCTACGGCTTGGTTTAGCAGCAGAAAGCAGGAACAGGGGTTCTAAGTTGGATCTAGTTTGTGCGTCCTCTTACTGCAACTGGGATAATGTCCAATGATCTGGTCAGAGGCATCTATCTACCAATTAACTTTTGTTAAATTGGGATGGTCTCAATGGGTTAAGGGTGCTTAAGATATAATAAAGGGTGTGAAGCTGACCAGAATTTATTGCAGGTGAGGGGTTTTCCTTAACAAAGCATTGATGAGACCACACTTTACACATAAGCACGGGGGAAAAGTAGAATTAAAAAGGTATTTCTGATTCCTCATATATTAGGGAATGAATAGGGGAACTTTATGGAGCCTATCTGTTGAAAGCTGAGGAGCTTCGGTTCATTCCCCTGCTGAGATTCTCTCAGGGAGAGAATGAAACAAGATTAGGGCTACAATGCAGTCCTAACTTGGGAGTTATGAGTTATGGGTTAAAGCGGCCCACCCGAGCGGGGGGCTGACAGCCCCGGCCTTCGTGCCTCTGCCTCCTGCCATCACTGGGTGTGGACCCCCAAGAATGGGCGTGACCAAGCTGACTGACGGCTGGAAGCCCTTGACCATGGCCCTGGCCAGCAACTGAGAGCTGGCTTTCTTGAAGGGCATCAGGGAGTCTGTCCCCACGTCCATATCCCAACCCCTCATAAAGGAGAGGGTCTTGGGGAAGATGCTGTGGTGCTGACCACATCGTGGAAGAAACCCCAAGGGGAAAATTGCCCCTGAGAACCTGTCAGAGGCTGGTTCTCTGGCAGAGCTGCAGCCCAGGGTCACCCTGAGAGGGCTGTCCAGGGACCCTGGAGCGGGGACGTGATTTCGGGTGGTCCTGGGACGACAGAGCCTCCACTCAGGTGCCTGGCAGAAGCACTTTCATCCCCGTCATGGCGAATCCTCCCAGACGGGTTCTCAAGAGCAAAACACAACACGGTAAAAAGCAATTAAAAACATAAGGAAATAAACCGCCATGGATGAGAGCCAACAGAAACAGATTCACAAAGTCCTCACGTTTTTGGAATTACCAAAGCTCAGATTATAAGACAATAATGCTCAGTATATGTTTTTTTATGAAGACATTGTTTGAATGTAATGTCCGGGTTAACGGTGGCTCTGAAACCACCAAGGGAGGGTTATGGCCTGGAAGTAGGTTAGAAGAAGAAACCATGGGGGAGGCAGCAAAGAGGATCAAAAAGATGTTAAAATGTGCAAGAAAGTTGAGAAAGCATTCAGAGAAGAGTGAGGAGGGCTTACCCCCATTTAAGCAGAGGTCCCACAGGAAAAGAGAGAAGAGGGCAGAAGAAACCTTCTGAAGAGACAGAGACCAGATCTGTCACCAAACTGGATTTCAGGAAGCCCAGCAAAACCCAGACAAGAGTAAGAAGAAGAAATCTACACTGGACACATCAGCGTAAGAGTGAGCATAGCAGATGGCAAGAGGAAAATCTTGCAAGAAGCCTGAGGCACAGAAAGACAAACTGCTTTTCAACAGGAGCCTGAAGACAGTGGTTCATACTAAGAGAGATACCTTTAGTTTTTTTGTTTTTTTTTTTAACAGGTGGAATTAAAATGCATAAGAGGGGTTTTTTTTTGGGGGGGGTAATGTCAGAACCCAAAGGGCATAAATACTTTCTGGAAGGAGAGGAAAGATAATTAACTTTAGACTTTGCTACGTGAAGCAGACCTGGTAATTCAGTACTGAGCCCTCCGGAAGGCTAGAAGCAGTGTGTAACTTTCAAACTTAATAAAGAGAGAAAGGAGTAAGTGCAAAATATTGGCTGAGTCCAAAAGCGGCAGAAAGGAGAGAATTTCGGTCCTATGCCTGCCTCCACTGCAGGGAGGCTGAGAAGTCGAGGAGCAGGACGGGCACAGCTGGCTCAGGACAATCTCAAGGGAATGGATGGGGGGCAGGGCCAGCCCGCCAGACTCCTCCTGCAGCACCGTGCTCCCCAACATAATTAGATAAGCTGTGGGAGGAAGTGACAGCTAACCCCTACCCCATCCAAACTCCAGCAGGTTTTTGTTTTTGATGGAACCTGATGAGCTGGTTCTCAAATTTAACGGCATGTACAGAGGACCAAGGACAGCAAAAACCCCTTGAGGAAGAACAAGATGGAAAGACTTATTTTCCTGGATATGATGATCTACCATAAAACAGTAGTCGTTAAGATTGACAAAAAGACAGAATAGAAAAGAAAGGCCACAGGCACAGTCGAAGGCCTGAGGTGATGCTGCAGAGCCGTGGGGCCAGTGAATGGTGCCTGCGCACATGAAGAACCTTCTGGGGAAGGTGAAATCTGACTCCAATTCACAGCACACACCGAAACTCTATCTAAAGCTTTTGGAGATGATACAGAAGAGTGCACGGCTGTCCGCGAAGTTGGGAAGATTTCTTATTAAGCAAGACGCAAAAATAACCAGCCACAAAGACAGATACATTTGACATTAAGACGGCCACAGAACGAAGGGAAGCTGCCGAGGGAGACACATTGAGCCCACAAAAGGCTTGCGTCCAGAATATTTGAAGAAGTCACACACATCAATTAAACATTAGAATTTGTGGTAAAGCGTGGGGGAGGGAAGACTCGAACAGGCACTTTGCAGACAGGAGCCGATGAGAGCATACAAGCCAGGAGACAATGAAGGGACACGGGTTACGGGATAGGGGCTCAGGAAGAACCCCACCAGGCCAGAGGAAACTCAGCGAGACATAGACTCTCTCAAAGAAACAGAAGCTGACAGACTTGATGGGGAGGACACATTACAAGAAATGTTGAGGTCTTTAGGCAAAAAAGAATACCAGACCGAAGCTTGGGTCTACATGAGGCAATGAAGAGCACCAGAAATGGAAAATACTTTGTTTCTCATGGGGTTTTTTTGTTTGGTTGGTTTTTGGGGTTTTTTTTTTTGTTGTTGTTCTGAAAGAGGACTGAGTGTCTAAAGCAAACATGGGAGGAGCCTTATAGCCTTTAGAGCTCGGGCAGAAGTGAGATGTAGGACCATAGCAGGGGTGGGGAAGGACTGGGAAGACGTGTGAACGGTCCTCACACAACATCGTTTGATGACGTACTCTGGTGAAAGACAAATAATGTAAACCGTACAACAACACTGAAAAAAATTTTTAGAGGTATAAATAAATCAACAGTGGAAATAAAATGGAATCATGAAAACATTCTCCATGAATGCAAGAAAAGGGAGAAAAGGGGAAGAAAAAGAAAAGTTTGGAACAAATAGTCATGAGCTGGTAGATATTAATCCCGAGCGGCAGTAAGTTGCACGAAATGTGAACGGTGTAGACAGACCAGTTACAGAGAGGCTGTCAGAATGGATAAGAGGCAAAAGCCAGCCAGATGCTGCCTGCAAACATCCAGCCAGGGGTGGGGTGGGGAGGGGGCGTGCCCTCTGGGGACTTCTGGGGCAACTGACCCCCCGGGGGGCTGATCACGTGGATATTTCCCTTGGATTGCCTGTTAAAGCTCCATTTTATACATTCTTCAGCACGCGCATTTGCAGTAAATACCTAAGTTAACCGGCAATCACGTGTCTGTCAAGGGCGGAAAGGAGACTTGCCCCTCTGCCATCTGCTCCCTGCAGATCCGCACTGAGTGAGGATGGACCTGACTCTGGGGAACCAAGTGTGCCCCGCGTCCACCGCAGCCTCGGGACCCGTCCTGAGTCATGCGAGATCTGTTAGCCGTGGCGAACGGCGACGCTCTAGGCTGGCACGTAGACACCTGTCACGGGAATGGGATCCCTGCGGGTCTCCTGGCCCCTGGCCCCCCACAGCAGCATCAACTGCCCCCTCCAGCCAGAGGGTGTTGGAAACGCAGGCTCCCTCGGCACCCCACACACACGCACGTAATCGGAACGAAATCCCCAGGCGCTCCGCAAGCACATTCAAGTTTGAGGAGCAGCAATCTAGCCCATTGGGGTGCTCGCCCACACCCGAAACTCACCTGTGGTGTTGCTGGTTCCTGCCACCGCGAGCCTGCCGGGTAGAAGCAGACGCTCAGTATCTCGGATGTGAGATGAGAAGCTTCCTCAAACTGGCACTGAGATTCGACACTTGGCATCACACAGACTACTTACCTCCCTTGGTGTCCTGGAACCGGTCCCAAGCCCCTCCTCTGCACCTTCCCAGATTCTGGCTGGAGGTGCACATGACGCCCTAGGGCGGATGGTGAATGAACAATACTGGGACACTCGCTAGCTTGCGGCCCCAGAACCCACACAGGGGGAGTGTGAACGCGAGCTTGCAGGCTAAGGAAGTGCTGACCTCACTTGGAAGGAGAATTAACTCAGCGAGAAGGGGGGCATCAGGTGCGGAAGCGTCGAGAAGGGTCTTGGTGACCAGACTCCTCCTTCTTGGCGCCAATGCAATCACTAGCACCTTTGGCAATCCTGAAAATGGCTTATCTCATGGCAGAGACTCACAACTCTCGCTTTCCCCTTCCCTGTGCGTTGCGTTCGTCCCCTGACGCCCCGGACACCAACAGTCCAGTCTGGCCAGGGGTCTGGTCACCAGCGGTTTGAGGGGGGCGTTGTGCCTTCCGTGTGGTGACCTCATCCTTCCTTTGGCTCAGGCACAGGCATGCGGTGGAAGAATATCGGCAGCGTGAGGGGGGAGTTTAACTTCTCCCAGGTGCTGCTGCTGCTGCGGCTGGACTCCGTTCTGTACGGCGTGGTGGCCCGGTGCGTGGAGGCCGTGCTCCCAGGGGAGTGCGGCGTACCCAAGCCTTGGTACTTCTTTGTCATGGTGAGTGCCGGCGCTAGTGTTCTATAGACCACGTCAGACCTCTTACAACCCCCCAACCCCAGTACCCTCACCCGTCTTGGTGGCATCCTGATGGAAATCTCAAACCCCAGGAAACCTAAGCCGGGTTCTCTAACCTGGATTCACCCCAAACCTATCAGCTTGTGGTCACCAAGGGAGCACGACGAATGAGTCTCAGTGTCTCTGACTCTTGCCCCTGGCTGGTGCCCCGTGCAGAGTCCCCACAAGCGTGTCTGCGATGTCCCGGTGTGTCCACTCCAGTGTCAGGCCCCGCAAGTCCACACAGGACACTCTTTCCCCTCTGGGCTGTCGGCGAGGCCCTGATGCTAAGACCTCTGGGGCGCTGGCAGGGCGCGGCCTTCATTGGCCACCCCAGCAAGTTCTCAGAGTTGCTGTCTCCTTCATAGTGGAGTCATCTGCGGATGCAATTCTCCCGCAGCCCCACCAGGGGCCCTGTGCCACAGTCTTCGAAGGGGGTGACCCCGTCTGAGGTGCATAGGCACGCACTTGGGGCTCCACATGGCTTCCGGCTGGCCCCCTTCCCGGAGGTCCACCCCAGCATTTCTCCAGGCTCAGCCAGGGAGGCTGTCTGCCGACATGACAGCTTCCCGAGCTCGCCAGGAGTGTGGGTGCGACGCGTCCCCTGTCGCTTGCTCCATCCTCAGGACCATGAGTTGTAGGCTAAAATGCAGCTTACTGGTAGTGAGTCCATGAGCAAGTTGCTTGACTTCTCTGGGCACCATTAAATGTTTGATAACAGGAAACAGGGTGGGGGGGCGTTGGGGGAGTGTGGAGAATTTAATTTACCAAACTATTCATCTCCCTGAAGATGACAGTCGATTCACCCAAACACGTTAATGTCAGTTGGCTTTCTGTCTAGCCATCCCACTAGTGTGGGCAGTCGACGCCCCTCACATGGTCAGTGCTGGATGTGGGGGATCCTGACAAAGCTCCGAGAAGCAAGTTCTTTCAGGAAGAGCCTACCAATTTGGTGAAAGGGATTGAAATCCAACATCTGTACAAGGTATCAGCTCACGAACCTCCTTCCAAGAATTTATGAAATAGCATGTAGAGGCTTCTGTTTTATTCTGACCGTGGTTACAAGGTGCATTCCCTGATAGAGGTTTCATTTCCTCCTGTAATGGTATCCTCAAAATAGGAACCTAACATAAAATGTTTCCTGTTATGCAGTGAAGTGGGGTTGGATGGAGGGTCTGGATGATGTCTCTTGAAACAATCCCCCCAACCCCACCATGCCAACACGGCTGCCTGGGACACCCTGGAACTCAGCCTCTTGGCAGCTAATGTGGATCCTCCACGGTTTACACACCCGATCACTCAGTGCTCCGGCTTTCAGGGCTGGCTTCCAGATGGGGCATGTTTGTCTGTCACCAGCGTTCGCCAAGACTTTCCTGCACGCAGGGCCCCACGGCACTAGGCACTCCCAGGACAGGATGCCTGGATGTCAGCCCTGGGCCTGGCCCGGCCCACAGAGCATCATTTTCTCCTCCTTCGGCACCTTCTGTTCTTCAGATGTGATGAGCCCAAGGAGAGGCGGTGTCCTTGCCACACTCCGTGCCACCTTCCTCTGCCTGTGGGAGCCCAGGGGGCGGGGGTGTCACATCCTAGCCCAGAGGACTCACGATGGGGGGATGTCTCCAGCTCCCTCACGTGCTCTGGTCATGGTAGCAGCCAGGCACGCTTGCGGCTTCCACGGGCAGGGATCTTTCTGTTTGCAGAACAGGCTGTCTACACACACGTGGTTCTGGCACGATTTCTCAGCGGCTTGGCCATGTCATGCAGGGCAAGGTGTGGCTCTAGAAGCAGGAAGACTTCCTGCCAAGCTCTGAGCCCTGCATTCTCGAGCCCTGGCCTCTGTGGCCCCGGTGCCAGGCAGAACCCCCTGGAGCTGCACCCCAGTCAGACTCCTGGGCAGCCCAGGCAGCTAAACCCTGAAAGAAGGGCTCCCTGCCGCATTTCCACTTGGATATCCACCAATGGACTGAGTTTCATGGGGAACTTGTTGTGGGTCGTAGATGTTTCAGGAACGCCACATGCCCGTTAGGGAGTCGGTCACATGTTGAATCTTCCACAGGTGTATCACATGGGAAAGAATAAACACAGAGCAGTCAAAGATCTGACGATGAATCTATACCAGGGGCAGATCACCATCCTCCTGGGACACAATGGAGCCGGCAAAACCACCACGTGCTGCATGCTCACAGGTACCCGCGCGGGGCCAGCCCCCTCAAGGAACAGAGCCTTCAACACACCCGGAATGTGCTTCCATCTCCCCTCCTTAGAGCTCACTGACGTTTAATATGAAGCACTTGCTGTTTGCTTTTTTACCATCTGTAGAGTGTCTGGTTGTTCACATGACCCTGTGCCAGGAAGAGGGAATCTTTGGCTCTTCCAGTCTGTGGAAGGAGATCTCACACACCATTGAGGAGCTTGCACACAGCTCTGTGTGTCTCTTCCCACACGGAGTGCCACAGAGAGAGGGAGACTCTCAGACAGACTTCCCGCTGAGCATGGAGCCCGCCGTGGGGCTCAATCCCATGACCCTGAGATCACGACCAGAGCCAAAACCAAAAGCTGAACCCACTGAGCCCCCACAGGCGCCCCGAATCTACTTATGTTGATTTAGAGTAAGGAGATGTGTGGGAAAGAAGGCAAAGTCACATCACATGTTCGTACTTCAAAAACCTGTAAACCACCTACTTAGCTACTAGTGTGCGTTGAATTAATAAAGAGCATATATTCATAACAATGAAATCTTATTAGCCTTCCCAAATTATATAAATTTTGTGGATGTGGAGAAATGGCCTCAATAGACCATTTAGTGAAAAAGCCAGTTAAAAAACCAGAATTTATATTTTCCCGTTTTTGCTAAAAACTTTAACACGTGAGGGGTGCCTGGGTGGCTCAGTTGGTTAAGCGGCTGCCTTCGACTCAGGTTGTCATCCCAGGGTCCTGGGATCGAGCTCCGCATCAGGCTCCTTGTTCAACAGAGAGCCTGCTTCTCCCTCTGCCTGCTGCTCCCCCTGCTTGTGCTCTCTCTCTGATAAATAAATAAAATCTTAAAAAAAGAATACACAAAGGTACACCAAAACAATGTTACCAGTGGTCATATTTACACAATCGGACCTGCATCCTTTGTGTGCTTTGCTATATACTTTCTTCTTGTAACCTTGTTGCAAATAGACTTAAACAAAGAAGATGAGAATAAAGGACACTGATGGGCTGGCTGCGAAGCCCCACACATTCCCACAGGCACCTGGCACTGGGTGGAGTCATGTGTGCATTCCCAGGGCCTGACTGGGAATCAGAGGTGAATCAGTCATGGGTCTCAATTCAGAACAGTTAGATGCCCCAAATACTGTTCTGAAACCCATTTCCATAGTATCACTTACTGCTTATCGCAGTGCAATTTGTTTCCACGCGCCTGTGTGTGTTTTGTTCACCTAGTCAGACGGGCCCTCCTCAGAGGCAGGAAGGACATCTCTTGTCTCTGCTCCCCCCACACCTCCTCATTCCCCGGATGTTACTGATCGTGGCAAGGAATGAGGCAGTCTGCATGCGAACAAACACAGGGCATCCGTAAGCCTCCAGCTGCGGTGTGCTCGGGCTGAAGATGACCTTAGCATATGTCTTGCACTTGCTCCTAGGTCTTATTCCTCCTTCAGGTGGATGGGCCTATGTCAACGGATATGAAATTTCACGCGATATGGCTGAGATCCGGAGGAGCCTGGGCTGGTGCCCCCAGCACGACATCTTGTTTGAAAACCTCACAGTAGCAGAGCATCTTTATTTCTATGCTCAGGTGTGTCTGTGGGTGGCACATTGTGTTTCCTCTGCATCCATTCTTGGAGAGGGTCAGGAAGCCCGCAGCTCCCTGACCCAACCTCAGAAGGCCTTGAAACCCCTTCTGGATGCTATTCCCTAAATATTCAGGAAGGGGGCCGGGGCATGGGTTACAGTTTGACTACAAAGGATACAAATCAGGACCAGTGAAAAGAAGAGACATGCAGGGTGAGGTCTGGGAGACTCCCAAACTGGAGGCTTCCGTGTCCTCCAGACGCCTCACTCTGTTGGGATATGGATGTGTACACAGTAGCTTATTTAACCTGCAAGTGTCCAGTTTTTCTTGGGGTTTCATCACATAGACCCGAATGGTTGAATCCTGGGCCTCGGGACTGAATTCAAGGTGCAGCTTCTGCATGTCTCCCTGCCCCCATCAGGTCCTGAGTCAACACATTAGCATAAACTCAGGTGTGGCCCCAGGGTACCAGGTGAATAACCAGGACACCCCATCACTCCAAGGATTTAGAGGCCCCTCCCAGTAACTGGGGGCAGAGGCTAGCCAGACTTTTCATTATGCAACACTTAAACAGACTTTTCATCCATTGAACTTCCCTGGGATAACTCCCACTCGGTCATGATGTGTGATCCTTTAATACGCTGTACTAAATGCAAAAGCCTTTTGTCTATCCCTTTCCATGAGGGTAATGAGTTTCTTGTATCAAGTTTATGTATATACTAGCAAAATGCTGGCTGGACAGGTGGGCTTCTACCGGGGATGCGGGGAGGGACGTCAGGGCACCAGGAGCAGCTCACAGAGAGAAGGGGATGACATCGAGGCCAGGCTCCTCGAGGACTGGACGGGCCAGCCTCCCAGCGGGAGCCCCTGCCGGACCTCTCCGTCCCCCGCTGTTGCAGCTGAAGGGCTTGTCCCGTCAGAAGTGCCCTGAAGAAGTCCAGCGGATGCTGCATGTCCTCGGTCTGGAGGACAAGCAGGACTCCCTGAGCCGGTTCCTGAGTGGGGGCATGAAGCACAAGCTCTCCATCGGCATCGCCCTCATAGCGGGCTCCAAGGTAGGCGGGCGGGAGGCCCCGGGGCAGGGCCCCGTGCACGCAGACGGCCGCTCGGGATGGCGGCACAGAGGCATCGGGCTCCAGGCCCCACGCGGCACGGGGTGGCTGCGGCCCCTGGACGCCTGCAGAGCAGCCTGGCCAGGGCGGGACAGCCACATCTTCACAAACTGGAGCCTCATGGGGCCTCCCGACAGCCAGCCCGGGCCCGCCACGCGGCTCTGCCACCACCTCCAGCAGCCACTGCTCTGCCTGCAGGTGCTGATGCTGGACGAGCCCACCTCGGGCATGGACGCCATCTCCAGGAGGGCCATCTGGGACCTCCTGCAGCAGCACAAGAGTGACCGCACCGTGCTGCTGACCACGCATTTCATGGACGAGGCTGACCTGCTGGGGGACCGCGTGGCCATCATGTCCAAGGGGGAGCTGCAGTGCTGCGGGTCCTCGCTGTTCCTCAAGCAGAAGTATGGTGAGCGGCGCGGGCAGGTGGGTGGGCGGGCGGCGGGGCAGTCCTGCCTCTCTTCCCCACGGCCCCGTCCCTGGCCTGGAGGGTCCCTGAGGCTAGGAGAGGGGCGGTGATAGGAGCAGGGAGCGAAGGAGCAGTTTGAGACCTGGAGTCGGGAGATCGAGGTCTGAGCTCCACTCTGCTGGTTTATAGCCTCCATCCACGCGGCCATTGACCTTTAGCCTTCTGCTTCCAATCTAGAAAATGGATACTCACTAACTGTGTTCCTCAAGGAGTGAGCAGTATGTGCAGAGTGCCCGTACGGGTGTGGGCTGTTTCCACGGTGGCTCCCCTTGTTCTCCCAGACCCCACACCCTCCTGTGTCTCCGCTGCTCATGGCGTGGGCGTGCCTCCATGGCCTCACTCTATCCTCTGCCCATGCACTGGGTGACCTTATTCCGGCCTCCTGTGCTGGAAAATGTGTGTCTCTCCAGCCCGGACCCCTTCCTGAACTCCACATGCGCGTACCTGGAGCCTACTCCGCACCGGCATGGACACTGACTGGCTCTGTGGGACTTGTCCAAACCCTAGGCAGACCGGGGGCCCCCTGCTCTCTGCCACCACACCCACTGCCCCCAGCACAGACAGCTCCTTTCTTCTAGGAGCTTGGCCCAAACCTTGGAGGCTCCCTGACCCCTCTGTCTCTCAGAGCCCAGATCCCATCGGTCTGCAAACTCTGGGGGCCTTCCCTTACCCCAACCTCCACACCCGGCTGGCGCCCTGGCCCCAGCCTCTGCCCACTTGTCCGAATGACTGTGTCACCCTTCTGCAGTGACCTCCCCTCCCATCGAGAGTAAAAGCCAGAGTCCAAGAATGGCCCACAGGGCCTTGCTTTGCCTGGTCCCATCACCCAGTGGCATTGCCCGATGCTCTTCCACTCCCCTGCTCTGCTCCTGCCACTCGGGCCGCTAGCTTATGCAGGATGCCATGCCCTCCCTGGCCAGCACCTGGCCACGGTTCTTAGGCCTCCTGACCCTGTTTAGAATCACACTCCTCGACCCTCCATATCCCCTCCCATGTTTATCTTTCTCCTCAGCACATGTTGCTGAAAATACATAGATTATCCCCATTTTTCTTATTGTCTGCCTCTCGCCCCTTTAATGAAAGCCTGTGAGAGCCCTCGAGAACACGGACCCTCAGAGGCGAATTCCTTGGGGTTTCCATCCTTCCCCACAGGGGCTCCCCCAGCTTCACTTCCCCACGGAGCTGCCCATTCTGAGTGGCAGAACAAGAGTAAGAGTGTTTCATGGTCTTCAAAATGTTGTTTCAGGTGCCGGATACTATATGACTTTAGTGAAGAAATGTCAGTGCAGCACAGAGATTTCTCATCTGGTTTATCAACACATACCAAATGCGGTTTTGCAGTCCAGCACTGGAGAAGAATTAACATGTATTCTTCCTAAAAGGAGCATGCACAGGTGCGGACCCCAGAGGATGCGAGTAGCTGTTTGCATGGACAGAGTTCACAGCTGGCTCTCTGCCCCTCTCCTCAGCAAGGGCTCTCTGTTCTGCTAGGGTCTGGACCCCTAGGCCTTTGGCATCTCCTGGAAAGACAGCACACTCCAGCCAGAGCACACTCGAAAACACGGGGCTGTGATCATGTCACCTCCCTCCTTTAAAACCCTCAGTGGCTCCCAGTAGCCTTCAGGTCAAAGTCAGAAGCCCTTTATTGGGTGGCGGAGCTGAGATGAAAGTTTGACCTGATTTTAATTATTTCAGACTTCAGAGTAGTTCCTGGCACTCCCCAACGCCTCCTCTCCCTTGTGTTGTTCTCAAGCATGAATCTGAGTTCATACTTCACTAGGAAGATGAGAGCCACCAAACAAGAAGTCCACTTCACTCCCATCACAAGTTTCTTTCTTCCTTCCATCTTGACAGCCAATGACGCAGCCTCTTTTTCCATCCTGACTTCTCAAAAACCCACCTGCTTGACTTGCCCCGCTCATCCACACCATCAGTTTCTCTCTCTACTGGGTCTCTTACTTCTGGGAGCACACTAACCCCCCACCACCCTCCCCCAGCCCCTAGCACCCACCCCTGTTCTTTTGTGATTGGCTTAGACCACTTAGTATAATGTCCTCAAGTTTCAGTGCTGTGGCATACTACAGAATTTCCTTCCTTTTTAAGGTTGCATAATATTCCATCTTACACACAGACACACAGACAGACACACACACACACAGACACAGACACACACACACACACACACACACACCCCACATTGTGTTTATCCTTTCATCTGTCAGTGGACACTTGGAGTGCTGCCACACTAGCTACGGTGAATAATGCCACTATGAAGATGGTGTACAAGTATCCCTTCCAGACTCTGCTTTGGATTCTTTGAGGCATATTTACTCAGAAGTAGAAGTGCTGGATCATATGGCAATTTTATTTTTAAATTTTTGGAAGAACTGCCATGCTGTTTTCCACAGAAGCTGCACCATTTTACATTCCCTCCCATAGTACACAGGAATTCCAGTTTCTCCACAGCTCACAATACCTGCTGTTTTCTGCTTTTTTTTTCTTAGTAACCAACCTAAATGGGTGTGAGGTGGTACCTCACTGTCGTTTCATTTTGCATTTCCCTAATGATGAGTGATGTTGAGCATCTTTTCATGTGCCTATTGGCCATTCGTATATCTTCTTTGGAGCAATGTCTATTGCCCATTTTTTAAAAATACTTTTATTTATTAAGTCATCTCTACCCCCAACGAGGGGGGGCTCAAATTCAGCACCCTGAGATCAAGAGTTGCATTCTCCTCTGACTGAGCCAGCCAGGCGCCCCTCAAGTCCTGTGCCCATTTTTGAATCAAACTGTTTTCTCTTGTTCTGGAGTTGTAGGATTTCTCTGTATATTATGGATATTAATCCTTTATCAGATACAGGATTTGCAAAAATTGTCTCCCATTCAGTGGGTTGCCTTTTTAGTCCAATGATAGTGTTTCCTGATGCACAACATTTTTAAATTTAATGAAGTCCAACTTGTTTATTTTTTCTTTTGTTACTGTACCCTGGGTGTCACGTCCAAGAAATCATTGCCAGATCCCATGTTGTGAAGTTTTTGTGTGATTTTTGTGTGATTCTCTAGTTTTGTTCTTTTGCAAGATTGTTTTGGTTATTAAGGGTCCCTTAAGATTCCATATGAATTTTAGGATGGGTTTTTCTATTTCTGCAAAAAAAAAAAAAAAGTCATTGCTCTTCTGGTAGGGCCTGTACTGACTCTGTGGAATGCTCTGGCTAGCATTGACATTTGAACAATATTACATCCTCCAGTCCCTGAACGTGGGATGTGTTTCCATGGATTTCTGTTGTCTTTACTTTCCTTCAGCAGTGTTTGAAAGTTTTCATTCTACAAGTCTTTCACTTCCTTGATTAAGTTAATCCCTAAGTATTTTATTGTTCGATGCAATGGTAAATGGGGTTGTTTTTGTAATTTCCTTTTCAGATTTGTTCATTGTACTTAGAAATGCAACTAATTTCTGTGTGTTGACTTTATATCCTGCTACTTTGCTGAATTCGCCTATTAGTTCTCACAGCTTCTTTGCAGCATCTTTAGAGTTTTCTACATAGAAGATCATGTCGTCTGCAAACAGATAATTTTACTTCTTCCTCTCCAATTTGGATGCCTTTTGCTTCTTTTTCTTGCCTAATGACTCTGACTACAACTTCCAGTGCCAGGCACCTCAGACAGATTTTGCTAGTGAGAATGCTGTGTCAGTGAGGAGGCAGATTCCAGGTCCTTCCCACGCTGCCGCCTTCCTGGCATCCCTGTCTCACATGTAGGCTCTCAGCCATGAGCCAGGCTCCTCAACACACAGCAGAAGAGTTAAATTAGCACTTGATTACAAAAAGATACCTAGAAAACCCACAAATATTTGGAAATTCAACACTACACTTCTGAACAGCTTATGGGTCAAAGAGGAATTAGAAATGGTTTTGAATTGGACGGTGATGAAAACACAACAGATCCGAAATGTTTAGGTGCTGCTAGAGCGGTGCCTGGAGGGAAACACACAGCTTTGAAACACTCAGGTTAGGAAAGAAGAAAGCCTTAAAACCAATGACCTGTGTTTCCAGCTGAGGGAGGGAGAAAAAGCAGAGAGAAAGTGAAGTATAGAGTACAGAGAAGAAAAGAATAAATTTGAAGAGAGCAAATGATGGAATAAGAAACAAAAAAAAATTGAGAAGACTAAAATAGCCAGACGTTGTTTATTACAAATATTAATAAAAGTGATAAGCCTCTGCCAAAGCCATTAAAGAAAAGAAGAAATACGAGAACCAGCATCAGGAATGAGTGGCCATTGAGCACTCCGAGCACAGAGTTATGACAAAGTCATGAGAAAATACCACAAAAAAATTGGACACAAATAAAATGGGCTGACTCCTTAAAAAGCATAGCCTACTCAAACTGACACAAAGTGAAAGAGAAGAATCCGAATAACCACGTATCTATTGATGAAATCGAATCTGCAATGACAAAGGTTACTGAAAATTCCAGGCCCTATCAGTAGTGGAGGAAATAAATCACCTCAATCTTTCAGAAAATAAAGAAGGGAGCAGCACCCCACTCACGGTAAGGGCAGCACACCTCTGACACCAACATCTGGAACGTGGACATAAACACAAAGTCTTTAGCAAAATAAGAGCCATCGAGTGGACTTACGGGGGTTCCAGGACGGCGGGGCTCCCAGGTCTGGGAGCCTCAGTGGGATTCCTGGAAGGCTGGGCCCAGCTGGAACCATTGATCAGAGCATCTACCAAGACCTCCAGGGCATGGCGGCTTCACAGTGGCTCAGGGCTCCTGCAGAAGCTGCCCAGAGCCTGTGGGCTTCCTCTGACCCAACCCCTATCACTTCAGTCCAAATGTCAATCAACAGGGGAACCAATAATCAAACAGTGGTATATTCCTTTTGTTAAAAACCCCTCCACAATGAACGAGAAGAAACTTAATACGTGCACCAGTATGGGTGAACCTCAGGAACGTGTTGCCCAGATGAAACTAGATACAAGGAGACCAGATGATTCCCCTTACATGAAGATAAAGAACAGGTACAAGGCACCTCTGGTGGTAGGAGTCCAGACACTGGTTGTCTGCAGGCAGGAGAAGGATCATCTGAAGGGGGCGGAAAGCACTTTGCAGGGTGGTGGAAAGGTCCACCTCTTGGCTGGGGTGAGAACAAGGCATTTCACTATAGGTAAACCTTGTTGCAAAAGACCAGCCATCGAGGAGCACGATTTCCGTAACAGGAGACTGAAGAGCAAGATACTGAGCACTGTGAAGACCTGACTGGTGAACACACAACACAGGCTGGGGCTCTGCCAGCTGTCCTTACATTTAGCCCCCTCGGTGCACGAGGTAGTGTCCATCACACCGATGAGGAGAGACTGGGAGAGATCAAAGAACTAGCCCAGAGTCACACGACCCCTAAGTGGCAGAGTCTGGACTCAAACCCATCCCCCCGACAGTGTGCCACCCACACTCTTACCCACCATGCCGTACATGGTGCAGTCTCTCCGGGATGTCCTGAGTGCCAACAGGTTTCTTAAAGGCACGCTGTTGGTCTGGACACCAGGCTGTTAAAGAGCAGAAGCCTGCACAGTAGGAGATTGCAGATTTCTCAATATCACACAAAAAGCCAGATTCATTCAGCTCAAAAAGAAAGGAAGGCATTGAGATTAGCAGGCGATTAAAAATTAGCTCCTGGGCCCCTGGGTGGCTCAGTTGGTTAAGCGACTGCCTTCAGCTCAGGTCATGATCCCAGATTCCTGGGATTGAGTCCCACATCGGGCTCCCTGCTTGCTTCTCCCTCTGACCCTCTTCCCTCTCGTGCTCTCCGTCTCTCATTCTCTCTTTCTCAAATAAATAAATAAAATCTTTTTAAAAAATTAGCTCCTTTCCTCATTTAGCATAACAGTAGGGGGAACAAAAAAGAGCACTCACTGTCTTTGGAGAAAGCCGCTGAGTTTGCCAACCCCCCCCCCCCCCC